GGGGGTGGGAAGGATGAAATGTAGAGAACAGACAAAAGGAGCTGAATATACTTTTAAACTAGGCCTGAGTGTGCATTGAATAATGTGGCTGAAGCTAAGAGCTCACATGGGAAAGCAGCACAAGCACTCTGCCAGCCCAGGAGGGACTATGCAGCGATGGTGGCAGCCGCCGTGACGGTAGACGTGGTGTGAACAGGCACATCGCAGATGCCTGCATCTGGGGAAACCCATAGGAGCTCCTGTGAGCTGTTAGGGAAGGAAGCAGGAGGGTCTTGTGTGGCTCTGATCCACGAGGGGTGATAGCCCATCCCTGGACAGATCCTCCCTGCATCAGCCTTTCCCCTTTGCATCCCCAGGGCCCGGAGATGAGAGGTGGCGCGAAGACGGCCACGCCGCGGTCTGCAACTGGGCAGGCTCAGAGGAACTCGACCAATGCCACACGCATCCCAGCAAAGACACCCACGGCCCCCAAGACCCCTCCCAGCTCCGGTAAGCGATGGCAAGAGCGACATGCTGCTGCCTTCCCGGGGAGTCTCTGACTCTAGAGGCTCTGCTTTGGTGGTGCTGCCAGGATCTTCCTGCAGTTATGTGGGGGTAGCAAACAAATTTGCCTCAGTGCAGGCTGGGGTCACGCACAGCGCTAAAAGCCAGCAGGTTGAGGTCTGCGTGGTGATTCGGAGCTGCTCAGCCTTGTCATGGGGCTGTGGGTGCAAAGCTAGGGACGACGATTCCTCCGAAGCAAGCCTTTCTGGATACTGCTTTATCTGCACCGTTCATATAGTTGCCAGTGTGTAGGAGAGGACAGTTGCTTTATCCCTTTGGGATTTCCTCCAATTTGGAAGATTTAGGCAGCTCCATTTTTTTAATCCATCTATTCCTTTTCTCTTAACAATGTTCCACGAAGACCAGGGGCAAGAGGATCAATTCTTCGATTGCAGGAATGGAGATTAGCCCATTATTCTCAGAGAAGAAAACCCCAGAAAGCATCAGGCATTGTGAATTTCCATTAAAACGGTGCATTTCACTGAATATATATATTTTTCATACTTAACCAGAGCCACATAAAACCTTAAATCAATTAAATTTCCAGCTTTATTATGTTTAAGCATCTTTCTCATTCATTAAACAGGCAGAAAGGAGCAGAAAAAACCACCTCCTGCAGCAGCGAAGTCTGAGAAAGGTGATGTTCAAGGGTTTTCTTTTCTTCTTCCATTTCTTTTCAGACTGGGGACAGTTCTGAGCTCATTGATCAGCCTTATTTAATTACATAAAACAATTTTGTAAAAACGCTTCCAAATTTCTAATAGAAAAGTGGTTTTGTTTGAGTGTCTTTTGTCTATAATTTGTCATGCATGCTAATGTCACGCTCGGGTGGGAAGTCTTACCAATAATCCAGCCAATGAAGACCGTCTTCCTTCTGCGATATTGCCTTTAATCACAGTTGGCACTTCAAACTGAAGTCAAAGAAAGTGCATCCATCTTCCCCCCGCTGATGGTCAGCACTAGGAGTAGCGGGTGGGCCCTGGGACTGGGCAGGTCAACCCCATGAAGGCAGGCAGTGTGTGGGGAAGGGGTTGCATACCCAGATTGCTTATCCTGTGCTTGCCTTCCTCTGTCTGCAAACTTCAGGTGAGCAGCCAAAGTCTGGAGACAGAAGCGGTTACAGCAGTCCCGGCTCCCCCGGGACTCCAGGCAGCCGTTCCCGCACTCCCTCTCTGCCCACCCCACCAGCCAGGGAGCCCAAGAAGGTGGCAGTGGTTCGCACACCACCGAAATCTCCTGCATCTGCCAAGAGCCGCATCCAGCCGTCAGCTGCACCCATGCCTGATCTGAAAAACGTGAAGTCCAAAATTGGCTCAACTGAAAACCTGAAGCACCAGCCCGGAGGTGGCAAGGTAAATGTGGACAAATGCTTTCCAGGGCCCTGTCCGTAGGGACGGCGGGTGCTTGGGGCTGCGTCTCAGAGGGGAGAACCCTCACTGGAGCAGCAGCAGCCTGGCTGGGGCCAGAGATACAGCAGTGGGCAGCCAGGCTTCAGCTGATCTCCAGCCTGATTCTGACTTTAAAGTTTTTTGGGTTGATTGGGTTGGGTGCTTGTCCTGAAATTGCTTGCCTGGCTTAGTGCAGTACAGCCGTCGCGCAGAGAGGGCTGCAGAGAGGTTGTGATGTGGCTTTCACGCAGTGGGATGTCAACGTATGGACTGGCTGCCAGGGGAATGACATTCCCTTGTGATGTCCAGTTAGGGAGAGCAAATTGTGACCCGCAGCCCTAAAGAGTCGCAGGATCAGGGTTGTGTTTCTGAATCCTATGCTGTGGGATCTGGACCAGTTGCTTCAAGGCTGCCTCCATTAGCGAGCAGACAGGATGGTCTCCCTGCGAGGGTTCCAGGCTCAGCATGTTTTTCAGAACATTGTGATTTTTGGATCCAACTCTGTTGGCAAGGTTTTGGATTGCGTTCTGCGGTCAGGCGCTGTCTTGCTACATGATGTGGTGTAGCACGACCAGAACTGGTGGCACTATTATCCTTTCAACCGCTAGTACTTTTCACTCCCAGAGAGGCTGTTTCACGAGCAGCAAAGTGAACTCTGTGTTCCGAGTGCTTGGAAACAGGAGTCTGGTGTTAAATTTTGGAAGCTCAGCAGAGGAGAGTTTGGGCGAGGGAGTGGTGTGAGCCAATTCATCTGTGCAGCCCCCAGAGCAGCAGTCTGTGGTTACACGGCTCAAGCTGCGGTGTTGGCTGCTCAGCACCCATCCAAGCCCCTCCGCGCTGCTCCGTTGCACTGTGTGGACGTGTCCTGAGGCTTTTATAAAATCCTCCTTGCTGCATGGGTGAAGACATGAAAGCACCTGGTTCCTCTGACTGGTGAAGGCCCGGTGGCTCTTACAAAGATGTTAAATGACAGAACGGCACATCTGATGGCCGGTGCAGTCAGGAGTCCCCATGTGCTTGTGCCTGCCTACCCCGAGGGGGTAACGCTGCCTTGCAGACCTTGCTCTGCAGCTGCTAATGCAACAGAGCCGTGACAAATCTTCCCCGAGTGCAATGCATGCCATTTTCTGTGAGTAGGTAACTCCGTGGCTTTGAATAATCGACTTTGGCACAGGGGGAGGCTTTGAGATGGCTTCTCTTCACCATCTTAAATAGCAGCGTGCTTTTCCATTTCCTTATGTGCATTTTTTGCCGTGGCTGGTGATTTACTAGGCAATGCACATTTTGCTTTGTACGACAGTCCGGGGGGGCTCTGGAGCCTGGGCAGGGCTGCTCTGGCTGTTGGTCACGAGCAGAGCCGCACGTGTCCTTCCAGCTGCCCATGGCCCGATGTCTCGGCCCTCCTGCCCGCTTAGCACAAGGCCTAAGTTTTTCCTGCCACCCCCACAAAACACTGCTTTTCAGGGATTTTAGAAGGAACCCTTCTGTTTACTGTAAATTGGTTAAATTTTGTTTGCTTGTTTTTTTTAGTCCAGCTTTTACAAGTTTTTTATTCTCTGTCAGCTTCTCTCTCAGGCAACATGTTCATTGTTGTCACTGAAAGAGTAAGAACAGCTCAATTTGGGTCAATTCATTGCTCTTTGCAGGGGAGAATGGCTGGATGCTCTGTTGGGGATTTTGTAGGACATGAGGCTGCTCTTAGCAGGAGATTGCAGCTGGGGCAGAAGGGGCTGATCCAACGAGTTTGATTTTAGGGTGGCCAGAAGATGAATCTGGAGCCTACTCTCCATGAGGATTTCAGACCCCCAGCCTAGGGAAGCAAAGGTACACGGCGCACACGGGCCAGGAGTCAGCCAGGCCAGATCTCTTCCAGTATTTCTGCATCGTCTGAGCACTTTTGTTGTTGCTGGATCGCTGAGTGCTGCTCTGGCAAAACCTGGTCTAGCAGAACTGGATCCTGGTTTGCAGGATTAGTTGATGTGAACTGGAGGCACGATTCAGCCTTTGTACTTCTCATGCTGAAGAGCCAGGGTACAGCGAGGAGCTCTCCTTGCAGCAGCAGGCCGGGGATGTGCTGAAATGGAGGGTGAGGTTGCCAGCTCGGCCGGCTTTGTGGACGTTGTCATCTGGGGAGTGCCTGTGCAGCCTGATGTGATGCTGCTCGCTTGAAGGATGCTGTGTCTCTTCCCCGCTCATGAGGGCTATGCTTCAGACAGGCTTTCTCCTGAGGCCTGTGTACCTTCTGATTTTTACCTGCAGTTACCTCTGGTTTACACTTGCATAGGTTGTAAAGCCAATCCAGTCCACGTAGGGCAAGGAGCAGAGACTCTCTTCACCTTCGTCTTGTCTGGAATAGCTGCTCCTGTGCATGGGGTCACTCCAGCATAGCTGCCCTTATAAAACCCAAATAGAGAAAACAAGCCCTAAAGGGAAACAGCTTAATTAATTAGTACAAAAATCTCTGTGTGTGGGGAGAGGGCAGACAGGCCTTGGGACTGGAGGGGTGCCAAGCCATTTCCAGCCCCTCTCCCACCCGACATGGCGTTAGGAATGTGCAGTAGAGCCTTTGGAGGTGATCTGTGCTGCCCCTTTCATCTCATCTATACAGGAGTTAGGCAAACTGCAGGCATGGGACTGCAACTCTGGCAGCGTTTGGTTTTTCTCTTTGTAACTGCGGAGGGAGTTTAAGCCCTGCACAGTGCAGAGCTCAGGTCTCCTCTCCCGGATGGTGCTGGACGCACACCTCCTGCTCTCCAGTCTGCTGCCACGGCCACCTGCACCCATGTGCCCGGTTTGCTCAACCTTCTGAAACGTGAGGCCATGTATCTCTGTCCTGGAGAGAAGGCATGCTGCCCGGCATGGGAGATGGGGCTGAGCAGGCATTTTTCTCTCAGCTCCATCCTTCCTCCTTCCACTGGCTCTGCAGAAGCCGAGTCTCAGACCGCTGGTGCCTTCTAGCACTTTTGCTGCCCAGCAAGTTCCCCGTTTTGTTCAGTGGAAGAAAACGGGGTTAGCTGGCTTTTTTGCTAGTGTTTCTGACCTGGAAACCAGGGCTGCTTCACGAGCCAGACTTACCCAATTTCTAGCTGTAACTTGCCCACCTCCATCTTCAGTTTCCAGTCCATAGGCAGCCAAATCTATGCAGCAAGCCAGAGGTTCTCCTTTGCTCTTGGCACTGGAAGGCAGGTTCCTGGTTTTAGTGATATAACGCATGGTCAAGCTGCAGATGGTCATGTTGTTTCTCACACTCTTTTCTGGCTACCAAAGGTGCAGATTATTAATAAGAAGCTGGACTTTAGCAGCGTTCAATCCAAGTGTGGCTCAAAGGATAATATCAAACACATCCCGGGAGGAGGCAGTGTGAGTACCTTCACACTTTCAATGCACTATAATAGTTCTTATTATAAGTGGCATGTTGTATACACTAAATCGCCAATGCTATCTGCAGCGACCCTGCCGTCAGATAGCTATTGGTGACGTGCAATGACTCTTTTCTGGCTACCAAAGGTGCAGATTGTTAATAAGAAGTTGGACTTTAGCAGCGTTCAATCCAGGTGTGGCTCAAAGGATAATATCAAACACATCCCGGGAGGAGGCAGTGTGAGTACCTTCACACTTTGAATGCTCTGTAATAATCCTTATTATTAGTGGCATGTTGTATACACTAAATCACCAATGCTATCTGCAGCGACCCTGCTGCCAGATAGCAGTTGGTGACGTGCTGTCGTTTAATCCCATTAACCCCAAAGACATGGTTAGATGAACCCTAACAAGTCCTGTACATGCCTGACATGGACAGAACTAACTGACCCCTGTAGAAACCATGTCTGTAACAAAACATCCCATTAACGCAAAGGTTTTACGCTACCCGGAAGGCTTAATGCCTCATTGTCTGCAAGATGGGTGGCCTCTAGCAGACAGTGACGTAGTTGCTGACGCAGTAGATGGATAGATTTATAAGCAAACGTGGTCCTCGTTGCTTAATGTACTGCGAAATTGCACATGACTCTGCGCCACGTGTGAAAGCGCAGGTTCCTGCCCGTTCCCATCAGGCAAGTATGATCCATGCAAATGTTAAGCTTCTCCTTGCTAATGAATGTATCCAGCGGTGCCCACGGAGGCTGAGCCTAAAGTAATATTGAGTTAATTGATTCGAACGCTGGCATTTCCAGCCATTCCCAGACAAGTAGCTGGACTCAGCTTTCAGTTACTGTGCCAGAAACCTGGAGAAACTCCACAGAGGTTGGTGGATTTCCACCAGTCTCTCTGGAGACAGAGTTTGGGTCCAGGAAAGATGACGGACCAAGGAAGGTGCATCACTGAGACCCCAAACAGTGTGACCCAGGTTCTGTGGTTGCCTGGTCTGTGGCCATCTGAGGAAGCTCTCTGGTGCCTCTCAGATGTTCCTGATGGATTTTCTTTGTTCTGTTTTTGATCTCCATGGACACTGTCCCTGAGAAACTGAGCATTGCAGAGGGCTTGGCACGTAGGCATTGGGACATAACTGGGTTTGCAACCTCCATCTTAAATTTGATGTCATTCTGCGTTTCTTTAACGGGCCAGAGGAGCTGCTTTGCGGAGTTCAGACCTCTGTGAAGCAGTTTCCATGCTTGTTCTGCTCTTTCTTACCCCAAGGTCCTGCACTGGCTGGACTGCCCTGTGCGTGGTGGACCACTTGTGTTCATCACAAATTGTCTGTGCTCTGGCTGGTAATTAGCTTCAGCACGGGGTGGTGAGCTCATCCTTTTCTCCACCGAGAGCTCAGACCATGGGCAAGCGTTTGCAACTGCAGCGGGTTAAGAATTATCTGGATTTTTGGCTGGAGGTTGTCAGCCCTCCCCAGGCTCTGCCAGCAGTGAAAAATTGTGTGATGGCTGCCTGCCTGCATTGACACAGAAAGCAGCAGCTCAGCTCTGGGTGCGGGTGCTCGGAGCAAAGCCATGTCCTGACGTGGCCAGAGCGTGGCTGTCCTGGCAGCAGAGCTGTGCTGTGGGGCTCCTCCGATGGAGGGGCAACGAGCCCACTGGGGTTCGATGGCCATCATGTCTTAATCCTCCACGACGCTGTCAGCAGTGACTGCTGCTTCAAGAGGAATGAACTGTCGCTACAGTAACCTGGGGTTGGTATCTTTTTGGGTTTTTTTAAGCCAGCGGATGCTCTCTGACAAGGTGATGCATTAGGCAAAAAGTTGACCGAAGCGTTGCTGATGCTGAGAGGTGGAATCCCCAGGTCTCTGGCACTGGTTTCCCGGGCAAGCAACTCTGTGCCCCTTTTCTTTTCTTGCTAAAATGGGGAGGACCCTTCTCTGCTCCCCAGCAGGATGGTAAGGATTAATGGAGTCCTGTCTGTCAATAAAGGGAACCAGAATGAGAGCAAAAGAGTTTCAGTTGCTGATTGCTTGCTCTGGAAATGGGAGGTCTTTCAGTCCCAGGTCCCGGTGGTGCCCGAATTGCTCATAGGCCCTTCGGGGTGAAGGCTGAGATTAGAAAGGTGCCGGCTGTCTTTTTGGGGTCTGTTTCCTGCCCTCCGACCGAATCCAGCCTCCTCCTGCCCAGCGCATTACACACGTGATCTCTCCCCAATGCTGTCTTCTTGTCTGTGTCTGCGATGTGCTCCCAGACCCTAGGGTTGTTTTTCTCCCCTCTCTCTGTCTCCACTCTCTGTCAAACATGTTTTTTGGTTTGCGTGAGCATCGGAGACAAGGCAGGCCTGCGTACACGCTGCTCTGGCTCCGTGCCGGTGCAATGGTGGCACCAAGCCTCTGTTCTCCCCACTCCTTTTCCTGGCTGCATGATGGAGAGGGGGCTCTTTCTCAGTGGTGTACACAACCCCGGTCCAGCACCTAGCTCTGAGGGTGATGGGGCCGGTGGACGTGGGGCCAATGTGAGAACCGAAGGATGCACCTTCACCCCAAGGGCTTTTGGGTCAGCACAGGGTGCTCGGGTGTGATGGAGAGCAGTGGCTACGGTGAATCCTTTGTGCTGGCTTTCGGCCACGTTGGTGCGGAGGCTGCCTGGCTGCTTGGAGGAGTCAGCTTCTCTGCAAAGATCCCTTTGGTGCTGGCACATCATTCCCGAGATCTGTGAGAGCACCACGCCCGCCGTGGTACTTGGTGAAAACACAGAGCAGTGTACGCTCCCCTTGAAATCCAGGCTATTACTGGGAGCCAGATGCTTCCCAGTGAGTAGGAACCAGCCTCGAGGTGTTGACGATCCAATTGCTCCTGCACAACCCCACTAACTGCAGCAACAGCCGATTCACACACAGGTGTGAGTCCAAAACCAGGGTCCAAGGTAACTTCTGGGGGTACGGGGATGTTTTCTCACTCCTTTGTCTCCTGCTCCCCGTGTACCTGGTGTGTACGTGCTGTGGTTTGCTGTCCCCCACACGCCTGATGGTCCCAGACCTCTCCAGTCGTTGATGTTTTCCAGTGTGGTGTTTAACCGCTAACGTAACCACTAAACAGCTCCACGTTAACCGTTCCTTGTGTGTGCGTCTTCGTGTAACCCGGTTGTCCGTGCGCAAGAGGCCGACGGCCCCGTGCCCAGGCACGCCGCAGCGTCGTGGCCAGTCTTTGAATGCGGCAGTTTAAGTGAAATTGCTGGAGCCCGTGTTCAGAGACGTAATGGGTAAAACAAATAAAAATCAGAGAGTAATACCGTGAAATACTGTTGTAGTTCAATATATTATAACTGCCATTTTAATTTGTATTATGTGAACTCCTACCAGATATTTAGACTTAGCTTTGCTTTTTTTTAACCCTTATTTCCGTTTCAGCATTTTTCAGAAATGCATATTTTGGTCACTCTTTTAAAAGTTCTGTGCACATTGATCATTTCTGTTCTTTCAGTTTTTGTGGACATAAGCTTTATGTTTTACACCAGAAAAGGTATTTATTTTTTACGTTTTCTCTCTGGTATATCTCCTTCTTTTGGATGATGTGTATGCAAATCTTAATTAATTAATTACCACTCCACTTTCTCTCTCACTTAAGCACTTTAAAATTGCCTCTACTTCCCCCCTCTGTGGAGAGGTGATCTTGTGCATGCTGACATGTTAAGAGAGGCTACTGCACACGGGCATTAATGATCTCCCATTTCCGATGAGAGTTTCTTTTGTATTATTAATCTTACTGGGGTTTAAGCTGTCCTTTCCCTTGAATCCAGATCAGGTGCCGGTGTGTGTTGTGCCTCCCCCTCCCCAGGTTGCCCGTGGTGGCAATAAGCTCATTGCCTTTTCCTTTTTCGTACGGACAGGTTCAAATCGTTTACAAGCCAGTCGACCTGAGCCACGTGACATCCAAATGTGGTTCCCTGGGCAATATCCATCACAAACCAGGTACCCTTTGGCCCTGCAGCAGCCGATAGCACCGGGTGCTGGTCCTTGGGAGCTTGCGGGCTGTGTCGTGGTTTGCGTCCGGAGACGGGGAGAGGGTCGGGGGAGTGAGGGGGGCGAGGAGAGGCACGTGGAACCGTGACTGGAGCATCAGAGTTTGCCCTGGGGTGCTGGACGCTGTTCCCAGCTCCGTCACTGCCAGACCCTCTCCAGGCTGCTTGACCCCTCGGTAGCAGGGGAGGGATCTGGTGTGATCCATGGACACCCTTGTCTGTGCCAGCACATCACTGTAAATTGGAAGGATTTAGGAATAAACTGAGGGGACTGCTGGTGTTTCGGGGAGTAAGGTTAGCCCCCTGCCCTTGGTTCTGTAAAACACTGGGATGTCTGCCAGCTCCGCACAGCATCCTTTGGAAAGTCTCTTGACCCTGGTTCCCATTTGCCCTGGCTCTTGGGTTTCCCAAATCACCATGGGGTCCCTCTTGCTGCCGTTTTCCTGTCCTCACCCTCTGCTCAGCCTCAGAGTCCTTTGGTTGAGTCGCCTCGAGTGGCAGCTCAGACCTCGGCGTGTCCTCTCTCCAGCCTGCTAACCCAGCTCATGCTCTTCTCTTCCAGGCGGTGGCCAGGTGGAGGTGAAATCTGAGAAACTGGACTTCAAAGATAAGGTGCAATCAAAAATCGGGTCCTTAGATAACATCAGCCACGTCCCTGGAGGAGGAAATAAAAAGGTAAAGGGGCACTGGGTCGAGAACAGGCGTGATGTTCTTCTGCAAGCGTCTGCGTGCCGCGTGAGCGTGCAGGCAAGCAAAGAGCAGTTGAAGTCTGGACTCGGAGAAGGTCCTGCTCACCCAGCTGATTTTGAGACCACATGGCCTCTCCTCTCTGCTTACCGGGCAGCACTCCTACCCCAGCGCTTGAAATGATTTGCTGTCCATGTTCTAGCATGGTGTGGTCTGGGCACACGTGTCCTTCAGAGGACAAAAAAGCCCCCTGCCCAGGGAGAGGCTGCTCAGCCGCTGCCCAAACAGCCACCTTGCCTTCCGGCCAGCGGCTTGCCGCAGGTGGGCAGAGCCGGGGGCTCCTGGGCCGCGTTTGCCAACCTGGAGGATGTTTGCTGGAGCACAGCTGTGGCAGAGCCGCGAGGATGGCAGTCTCTGTCCTCTGGCCACCCGAATGAGTGCGAATGTAAGTGATACCCTCTCCTGTGGTTTCCTGCTCTTTCTGCTGTTCTCTGAAGTTTGTGCAGAAACGTGTTTGTGTCTCAAACCTTTCACGTTCAGGGGAGTCACCATCAGCAACTGCTTTGGCATTCTGTGTTGCCGGTGACTCCCAACGGCGTGGCACAAAGCTGGCAGCTCAGAGTGCTGCATAGGTGTTGGTTCTCCAGTGAAAGTGGAGCATTAAAGGCTTAGCTTTATTTAGAAAAGGTGAGCTTGCGGTAGGCCGTCGCTTCAGAAGAAAGGTGATTTCTTCTTCCGTCATGTCTCAGTCTCTCAGCACCGAGGACTGTGTAGGGAGTGGTGTGCGTTTGGGGGATTTAAATTGAAAGACAAAAGTCAATCAGGTCAGGTGAAATACTGAACTTGGGGTGAGCCGGTCCTGCCAGGGACTTTGATGGTGGCTTCACCGTAAGTCTTAGCTAAGTAAAACACCTCTGCAACCTCGCTTCAAGGACAGCCAGGTCCCTGGCAGGCAGGGGAGCAGGGGGATCAGGTAAGCACAGAGTTGAGACTCCAGCCTGGTGACACTCATGGTTGACTTTCTCCAGGGAAAAGTGGTTTTTATCTTGCTTGTTTTTCAGACACTCTTTTTCTCAATGGGAGGGGAAAGTTCTGTTTCGGCTCCTGTATTTTGGCATTTTGTTCTTGGCCACCTTTTCTCTGTGCACCTCCCAGCTCTTCATCTCCCAGCGGTGCGCTGGCCTCTGACCGAGGGATCGCTTGACTTCCTTACCCTTCTCTCGCTGCTGCTACGCATCAGACTGCCCTGTGCTTCACTAAGCCCGTTTTCATCGTTTTTATGATTACAGTGATGATTCTTTCATATCCTGGCACATTCACTGGGCCATAGTTTGAAGAACTTGCCCTTTGGAGGGGGAATTTATTTGCAAGGGTGTGAGCCATCAGCAGCATCCCCTGCCTCAGCCTTCCTGTGTGGCAGTTGCCCATACCCTGCCTAAATCCACACCTGGAGGAGGTGGTTGGTGTAACTGGAGTTCAGATGCTGCCTCAGATTGCTTCCCTTCTCCTGCCCATCCCCATTCGCACCTCAGCACCAGGGACCATCCTCGGGCAGGGCTGCTCTGAGCTGGGATGCTCTCTGTGGGGAGGGGACAGGGCACAGTTGAGCCCCATCATCCCTCCACGCAGAGCGGCTGTGGGCAGCTCCCCGGCCTTTCCCATGTCCCCAGTCCCCTCCTTGCTCTGCGACACAGAAGATCCACATTTGGACGCATAGCCCACAGCTTTTTGGGCTGAACGCTGGTTCACGTGCTACTCTTGCCTTGGGTTTCCCGTGGAGAGCCGGGGTCTCTGTGCTCTGCCAAAGTACCTGTGCTGGCAGCATCTGCTCTCTTGTGCTGCACAAAGAAAGCTTTCCTCCCCGTCTCCAAAGGCAGCCGTTGTTCTTCCTATGAGTCAGTGAATGGCCCTGCTTTTCAGATCTTTTTCTCCCCAATTTACTATTTCTTTTCTTTAGTTTTTGTCTTTTTCCTTCTGGTAGACATTTATTGGGTCTTGGGTTTTTTTTCTTTTTGTTGCTGATGCGTTTTTTGCACCCCACCGCCCTGGGCGGGTTTCTTCACCTGTAGAGAGAGAAAGGCAAGGAAGACAAGACCCGTCCCCAGGCTGCTCGGACCCCGAGCCCAGACCCCGCTGGGCTCCAGGCCCTGGTGCTGGAGCCGCCCACCCCCCCGGAGAGCCAGCTCCCAGCCTTGCACTCGGCTGGGGAGGGCACCAGTAAGTAACAAACCCGATCCACTTCACCTCCCCTCCCTGGCCCTCACGCTCGCCAGGAGAGAGGGGTTTGGCTCCTGGGAGCAGCATTTTGTGTCCAGCTGGGCTGTGGGTTACAGGGAAGCCTTTTGTGCCGTATGGGCATCCCACCCCCTCCGTAAATCTCTGCCAGGGGAGTGGGAGCAGCCCAGGTTTTGTCTTGAGTCCTGGGCCTGGCACTCACCACCACACCGGGCCTGGGCGCTTGGGAAGGGTTTGGCAGCATCCCGAGGTGCTCCGGTCCTGCCATCCCCTCCGGTTGTGCCCATTCCCTGTGTGGGCTACTGGAAGGGACGTGCCCGAGGACCGGGAACACTGGGGGCCAAAGAACTGAGCTTTCCTCCCAGCTGCACAACGGCAGTGGCCGAGCGGAGAGTTTGCAGGTAAAACCGGTCTCTCCGGATGGCATCTCGCATCCTCCCCACTCACTGCCCTCTCCTCTCGTTGCAGATCGAGACTCATAAGCTGACTTTCCGCGAGAACGCCAAAGCCAAGACCGACCACGGCGCTGAAATCGTCTACAAGTCCCCCACCATCTCCGGAGATGC